ACATCTGCCTATACTGCTTTAGATAAAAACAAAGATATGGAAATTTGAAGACCACAGTTACTCAGTGCATTGCTCTACAGCCGAATGGCCTCAAAAGTTGTGAAAATCTCAGCTGTAGCCAAGTAGTGGAAACAAAGAGCAGGTCCAGGTAGTCACAGCAAGTACAGACTGCAGAGGTGTGCCTCAACTGGGCACATAAAACAAAGCGAATCGAAGCTTACACAAGGAAACTAAACATCGTAGAGTTATTTTCAGATGTATTAGGCGAAGTTATTTATCAAGCAGCTCGGGTTGCAAAACTTTCTATATCCAGCATAGTCACTAATTTGTCATAAAATGTAGAAACCTTTTAATGAGGCATTAAAAATAATTGAAATTATTTTTAACTGTCTGTGCAAGCTTTTTGGAAAGTTATTTTTTCACCCAACTGTTCCGCTGACAATTCTAAATTGACGGTATTTCTTTTTAACGGAAAAAAATATGTACAGTACAGTTGTTGGCCGTAAATATACAGAACCGTGTTTCGCCGGGCATATTGGGATATTCAGCGGAACTCATCCAACAGTTTTTCCATGTTTTTTTTTTTTGCCACTCACAACATCATCATTCGAAAAGCTGCTAAATCATTGAAGTAACTAAACAAACTAAAACTTAAACTTGCCTTGAAACAAAAAGTAAAACACAAAACAAATTACCAAGCAAGACATGACTTGAATAACTAAACAGAGAGAAGCCAGTCAACTCGTCAGGCAATGTTATCGAGGTAAAACGGGAAGCTTACACAACAAAATCAGCATGAGAACAATTCGATCCACAGTGGCCGCAATAAGTAGTCGGTCGCTTGCACAGTCCGGACAGGAAGTCCATACAGCATTATCATGTTGTAATAATATATACTTGTTTGGTTTTTCTGAGCTTGGCTGGAGTTGCAGTTGGGTTTGCAGTTGGGGAGATGGATAAGTTGATGTTGTGCCACTTCCTAGACGATTCCATTTGGAAATTTTGCACCGCAAAAGGTTGTTTTTAATTTTATTCGCTTAATGTTGGTTTCCTTGTGGATACCCTGTTAATGGGAACATAGGGTATCTCTGCTGTGTGTGGCGCCAGTTTCTGGAAGAAGGCAAGAAACTTCAATTTTATTCAGTTAATTTGTGCTGGGGCAGGTGTTGCTTTTCTCTAAGAATATATCTCGGAATCTGTCTTTAACCGGCTGTCATTACTATTACTATTAAGCAAAGAGGATATGTAAGAAATCTGCTAATCCAATCGTCCCGACTATAAGACAATTATTTCAATTTTATTTAAACGATTTGTGTTCGAGAGAGTTCGAAAGCCATGTACCCATTACAAGTATATGGTATCTGCACCTTCGGATATGCTCTATTACTTTAAACTTAGTGTATTAATTCATTTTTATCAAGTTAATCAGTTTTCGAAAGGGTTTTGTTGTCTCTATGGACTTTCGCATTTCTAATTCACGACTATTTATACAACCAATTGGTTGGTTAAGAGTATTCCCTTTGGTATCTACGACTCGAACACTCTCGTTTCGTGTGGGGTGTCGAGCAGCGATGCATGTAACCACGGACGGTGCATTTTGTGGGGTCAACTTCGAGTAATTTTTCTTGCCAGACCGACGACTTTCACGAACCGGGTAGCTCTGGTTGTCTCTGGATTGCGATGTCCAATCGAGAAAAAAACTTGTTTTCGTTTGTTTGTGATTCGGGGGCCTTGACTGATTGATGTGACGATTAATTTAAGAATGTAGCAGGTTCGGGGGTCAATTTTTGTTGCTCTTCACTTATATGCCCGTGCCCACCAAATAGGTAAACAGAGTATTATAAAGCTGTGCAAATATGTGTATAAATCAAACAGGAGGAACCCATCAAATAGTCTGTATATATTATTGTACGAGATGCTGAGTTGCTCTAGCCATGTCCGTCTATAAGTTTTCATTGAGAAGTCAATTTAAAGAATTTCGCCTATGTATTTTTGTTGAGATTTCTAGTGTTTATTTATTTGGTTCTTGGCATTGTTTAGTACAGTTGTTGAACTCTTTGACTCTTAATTGGATCAAGTTCATCAGTAATTATTTAAAAAGCATCAAATTTATTCAGCGCGTGCTTGCAACATCAAGCCCGTCGAACACATGCCGAATGTCGTCGCACTTGTTGCTTAATTCGCCGACTCTTTTAATGGGCATATGGATATGTGACAGGTGAGCGACCATACGGCAAGCCAAACTAACAACTCCGATTGCCTTGAAATGAGATAGTCGTAAACAGGTATTGCTTGACTGAGACAACTTAGTGAAACTATTGTAATTACACGACGAATTCAAGAACGTTTTAACTAGAAAAAGCCAATGATTTAGGGAAATGCAAGTTGACCGACTCACATAAAGCAGGCCTATATGCACTTTAAGCGAAATCCTATATTTCTTGAGTTCTCCGAATATATTTGAGCAACATCAATATGTTGCGTGTGATTTTATGCAGAGAATTAATATAGTTTTTATTATTATTACATTAGTGCATTACTAACCAACAAGTTAACTCTCCCCTACTCTGAACCCATAAAAAATGGAAAAATAAGAAAATGTTTTAACACACAGGAATCTCAGACCATATATATACATCCTTTGATTTTCATAATATTGATAAATATTGAATTTAACCTCATAATATTCTTGCTTTTATCACATTGATTATAAGTGCGCTGTCTGTGGCATGTGTGTTCGGGTTGTCACACAGCCTCCATGCACTAGCCTTGGATTCGATTCAGGATCCTCGTTGTTTACTTTCCTACATGTCAGGGTTCACTTAGAAAACTAACAAAGACTGCAATTGATATATATTATTGTATGGCTTATCAAATAAAAGGGGCTTAACACATATACAAAATTACATTTCATTAAAAGAAAAATCAGAAAAAAACTTAAATATGTATTTTATGATATGAGAATTGGGTCTCCTACAACTCAATAGCTCATATTACCGATGAGAGTCACAAACGCATATGTATTCGACTTCCCACGACCAAAGAAAAGTGTTTTCTCAAGTGGAGCTGTTCAGAAGCAATTGAATAATCCATTAAGTTATGGGTTCTCTGGAAATGCTCTTACTTATTTTTAGTGCTGATGTAGTCGATATGAAAGATGGGGTAAAATATATTGCCTAAAATCCAAAGAACGGTTTGATTTACGCAAAAGACAGTATAAAATTTAAACATTTTCCGATTGCCTTGCTAATACTCATTGAAAATTTAATTAATATGATCTGAATACACCTTTGGATTATTTAAACATAGTAAATGTTTGTTCGGGAAGTGGTAAGAACAACAACTATGCCAAAGATTAAAGACAATTGCAAAAAGAATCGTGGCATATGTGACATTTAGTTCATAAACTCAATCAATTAATTTTAGCTTTTAAATAAAACATTAACCAGCGAGGGTATAATAAAGTTGACCTGTTCCCCTTACAATTTGTAAACTGAAGGTTGATATGCGCCGCCACACAAAGTCAGAAGGTCATCTTTCACACGTGGTGGCAAGTAGACAATGGACAGTTTTGATAGTCGAAAGGTCAACTGAGGGTGCGAACTTAATCTGCTGGCTTAGCGTTCCATGTATTTTCTTGTTATATTTAATTTAATTAAAAAGATTACATTCTTAAAATAATAAAATGCGCGTGGCGCTACTGCCTCCACTCTACTGCCTGTCTCAATTTTAATTATTATTACTTTTTGTTGTTGCTGTTTTTGACGAGAGGAACCCCTTAACTTGTATGCTGTCTAAGCGGGCCTCGTGATTTCCCATAAAATGTGTAACACCATTAAAAATAGATTTTCCTAGTCAGATCGGCAATTTCGCAGATGGTATTCCGATTCAGATTCTAAATATATTGAAACAATCATGCTCGGTTGGATTAAAAATGTAGAACATATTAAAACCATTTTATACAAACTGACTAACTGTTAGTCGAAATAAGATCGTCTTGTAGCACTTATGATATAATACACAATTATTTAAGAATCTATATCTTCCGCTGTCAAACACTCGACAGCAAAGAAAGCGTGTTGCCGAGTTGTCAATTCTTGCGACGACTGAAATTTCAAATATAAACAAATGTTTGGAATACTCTGTGCCTAAACAGCACTCAATTTTTCCAATATAGTGCTAAATAACCGGAATATCTTTCGGTATTATCAGTGAATAGCAAGTTTGCTTAAAATGTTGACCACTGATAAATCGCTTTTATTATGTATATGTATGTATGTATGTATGTATACATGCATACATACGTACATATATTTTTGAATGTCTCATACATTTATATATTGCCAAGGCCACTTGACTGTCTACAGTTTAATACGTACGAAATGTATTTATACAGAGGTTTTGCCGTCATTGATTTGCATTTGGTATGGGCCAGAGATTTTTTTTGCACATATACATAAATATTTATTCGTATAGCTGGGAATTAAGAGAAAAGTTGTATATCTGTTATGATTATGGCAATTCAGTAAAAACAAATGGAGTGGCAATGGGAGGGAGATAGGGAGGGGTTAGTTGCAAAATAAAAAGTTTAGTTTCATGTAGGTTTATGAGAAAAATAAAAGTATGTATACTCTTTTCGGGAGTGCCGTCATGAGATACCCCAAATCCAAGACAAGTTGCCGTAACAAACATTCTGAAACACAGGAAACCTGTACTCCCTTTCCCGCATCATGTATTGGAATGCATATTTGTTAAAGTTCGTTATCAGAGCTTTTTGAATTTTTTACACCTTGTATATTGCATACAAAATTATGTACATACCAGCTCGTCATCCTGATATCTATGGGATATCTGAATCTACTTCATTGTACCTATTACATTTGCATAAAAACTTCATACAAATTTTCAATGGGTTGAGTGTATAAAAAACCACTGAAATTTGTCTACAATTAATAACAAAATACCAATTAACACAATTTTATTATATTTGTATTTTGCAGCGAACCTAAATATGCTGATTTCACGCAGCCGCTCAAAGCATTCGGCGAGTGGATGACTTAAATACACATCAACCATTATATTCATACCCCAATTCATACATGAGTTCATGGCACACCTTCTCATCGAGCAACAGCAGCTAACAATGGAGCCGGTTATTCAACATCTGAGTTTAAATTCAACCATTTAAAGGAACCTGCACTTAATCAAAAGTCTTAAGACTGAACAATCTCACTCTGAACGTTGAGACTCTCAAGACTCCCTACTTCCTAACACTGAAAAGCAATCCAAAAAAAATATGAACTCCGTCATCTCAGCGTTTAAGACCAAGAAGAGCAATACGACCGGCCCAACAGCTGTGGCAGCTACGTCCAATGTTGCAACAACGGACGGTAAGCAAAACGGCGGCCTTGTTGGCCTAAGCATAGCCAGCGTTGGAGGCGGCATCAGAAAGAAGCCTGTGGCCCAAGACAACGGCTATCAATACCTGCGACAAATACGTGAAATTGAGACTGCCAACAAAATGCTGTCACCGGTTGTAGCCGTTGCCGCCGATGATCTCCACATGCGCAGCAGCAATTCGTTCTTGGAGAGCAGCGATAAGTTGCACTTCCGTCCAGCGGTGGATGCAGCTGCCGCAAGCGCTGATGTAGTCGATCATTGTGCACCCGCTAAGGTCCGTTTGTCCAGTGCCGATGCACCGCAATCTGATCACAATATGAACGGCAAGATGAACGGATTAACCAGCAGTAGTTCCAATATGTTGATGGCTGAAAATGGCAACATGGACATCTACGCATTGCCTTGCGACCTACATAGTCCAACGTCGCCGGATGAAGATGACAATTCGGATCATTCGACGGCCGCTTGCAACAGCACAAGCAGCTCCAGCGAACACAGCAACAGTACCGTGGTGCACAGTCCGACGGTGGTGGGCGCCAACCCACAGACCAGCTCCAGTTGCAGTCCCAATCCTGTCAAGGATTCTAGCGTATCTTTGACCAGCACATCATCGACCAATTGTGAGCCACACTCAACGTCAACCACAACGCTGTCGTCCCTTCACTTGGAGGAGCCACTCGCTGAGTGCACCACAAATAGTGAAAATGACTGCCAGCCGTCGCTTGCATCGCCCGTGTTGACAAAAGGTCATGACGATTATGTGCCTGCGTTCCTTAAAGCACCGCCCGTTACATTGCCCCTCAGCATTCAAAACTGCAGCATTGGCATTGGCAACAAGTGTAGCCTCTCCACAACTTCAACGCCAACCATCAGCTCGGCGGCCAACACGCCCAAGCACGTGCGCTACACGAAACCTCGCCTTAGCCTCAGCCGTGGATTCAATCAATCCATGCCCTCCGTGCATGGTCGCCCGAATTTAAGCGTGATGCCAACTGGCGTTGGACTAACTGGAGCCCAGACGGGCGGTATACCACCAAAACGCATTTCAACTCACCAAAGAAACTTGAGCTTAGATTTCAGGTGAGTCTTTAAGTTTTACCCCAGCACGTTCTACTCGACGGTATTGCGATTTCCCCTCTAAGGGTGTAACGGATAGGATCCTGTCTATTTCCATGCATCAATTTGAATAGATAAATAAAAGCAATCAGAATTGATCGGCTCAGATTATTTAAACATTTAACTGCAATAGAAATTAACGCTCGAAAATAAAGTTCTCTGGTGGTTTCGAAGATAACTTTCCGATTACCAATTACACTAGTCAAATGTTTATTTCGAATACTGTATCATACATATATATCTATAGCCCTTATGGGAACAGCCGCTAGAAAAATGATGTCTTAATACTTATTCCTAAGTATGAATCTTTATATAAAATCATATCCATATCGGAATCCCATATATTTATTGAAATATTTAATAAAAAAGTGCAATGATAGTTATAACAATAGGGACATATCTGATAAGTGCGGACAAGGGTATTTCATCTTCGGCATACCAAACAGTTAGTTCTTTTTATTTTTGTTTTTGTTTGTATTTGTTTCGCTTGGCTTGTTTCGTGATAAACACAGAGTGCGAATGACACACCATCAACTGTTTTTTTTTTTGTTATTATCTGTATAAAAAATTATCAATAGCAATACGTAGTTTTTGTGCAAATTGTCAAAAGCGGCTGAATGTTGTGAGAACTTTGAGCATAAACGTTCCATTTTGAGTAACCAGCAATATTTTCTGCTGTTAACATGGCTGTTAAAATGGTAAAACAGAAACTGGCTCTAACAGCAGCAGTTTGCCAGAGGGTCTCCACGAATCTACTCGTACAGCGAGCACTTGTTGCTCTCTCTCTCTTCTCTGCGGCTGCTACTGCATTTATATGGGCTCGCGTGCCTTATTTTAATACCCTGTACCCATTGATAAACAATAAAAAGGGTATATTGTATTTGTTGGAATGTAAGTTACAAACAGGAAGCCATAAAGTACATACTTGATCAGGATCATCAACTGAGCTTGTTGTATATTCGTCCGAACGCGTCGATCCAGAACCTAAAGGTAGATTATTGTAATCTCCATACAAGTGGGTCGGTTTACATTTACGTTTCTAATAAAAATCATTTTAACTATTCGATAGCTTCTGATATATTCTGTGCAAGATTGATAAATGAATATCAACTATAAGCTTGAGTTGTGCCTGTGTATATTTTGCAGATTATAAAGACCATTCACCAAATTGGTGCAAAAGAATAACTTTTCTGGATTTTGAGTACTTAGGTACTTAGTACTTATTTGACTATTGTTACCGATACTCGAAAGTGCATACAGGGTATTTCTTAGTCAGGCACCGAATACTAGAGAACTCTCATTGTCATTGTTTTTAGTGTTTTGATATATATTGTTTTGCGTTTTACCTACGAAAAATGTATTATTTAAGAGACATAGCTATATGTATAGTGCGCCTCCTTCTTTGGCATACACAACATCGACGAGGCAATCGTAGTAAGAAAGTAATTACCTTAATCATTTTTCCATGTTATGAGTGCAGGCAAGTTTTTGCTTGGCAATAATTACAGACAGTAGATGCTGATAAAATTTATTATTTTCCTACATTTGTAGATCAATGGGCATTATGCTGCCGCCCGTTTCTCAAGTGACCAACACTCGTATCAATCACACCCAACATCATCGCAATCGAAGTCTGGACAGCGCCCTGCAGCGCATTCCCGAGGTGAGTAATATTAGAAATTTTCAGATGCAAAGCCCCAATCAACCCCCGCCTACAATACTTGAATAATGTTGCAAATTGTGGGCGCACCTGAATTTGGAAAGTTACGGAGTTGGATACATATACATATTTACAGAGTGTGTGTTTTTGCATTAGTGCACGCGTACAAATTGTGCTCCATATATGTATGTATGTTCGTAGCATGTTAAGTAACATTTTTATTTTTTTGCACTCTTTATGTTTACATTTGTGTTTATCAAGAGCGACAAAATAAAAAGAAATACTTAACGCCAGTTGTACTGAACTCTCCACAACATCGAGAGCCAAAAACAGTGTAAATTAAGATATTCAGAGAGAGCGAGAGAGAGAGAGAGAGTATGCTTTGTACTAGAGCTGAGTGCGTGTCGGTTTTTAGTTTTTTCGTGACACGAACACTTATTTCGTCGAACCTATTTGCTCAGCACAGACACGCGCGCAACTCTCGTGAATGCTGTTATTGTTTAAAGTTCGACTGCAACGTTTTGAGATAGCATTTTATATTATTGAATTGTTTTTTGTTATCTTGACATTTTCGGAGCTGCCGAAAAGTAAAAATGCTTTTGTGAAAAAGTTGTTATTATTGTTAAATGAACATTTTTACACCTACAGGTCGAGATTTCCTCGCCCAATGCCGAGAGTGAGACCACATTTTGCTCACCATCAACAATACTCAGCACCAATATGTGTTCGAGAATTGCAACAACTGCGGCCAGTGTAACGGCCGCACTTGCCACATCCCCGCCAATGCCAGCCCTTACTGCTGCACACAATAATAATTCAGTGCCGGGCTCTGGAACCGTTGCCAATGTCACGGTAGCAACGGATCCACCAACAACTGCAGTCACACTCCACGTGCAAAGGAACCACTATAATCCCAATGGAGTTAGTAAGTATATACAGCGGGCGGACATGCAAGTTTTGTTTAACTCTGTAACTGTGCTCTTTCCGTTCAGTTGAGTCCTGTCCAACATTACGTACACGACCCAAGTCAAACGAGCCGGTGACGACGGCTGCCCAGGATACGGTCGATGGCAATGCTGGCAGCAGCAACAGCTGCAGCAGAACAGGCAGCTACAAGAAACGTGAGGATCTAACTAGCCTTGGATCTGATGATTCCGGTAGGTTTATTGAAATATTTTGAAGATATCTCCGAATGGAAATATTTTTGAATTTTTGACACATGTAAAGTCAAGATTCCATGTTATTTTCTTTATTGAACATTATGTGAGCATAATTATTTATACACCCTACCCTTCACCCCTTTCATCACGTCAGGCATCATATGTGGATCGGAGTCGGACCAAATATCTCTGAATCGCATATGCCACTCACATGAATCGCTCGATTCGGGTGAAATGGATGCTGATGCCGACGCGGATGGCGAGGCGGAATGCATCGATATGTTGGAAACAACATCCATGGACGAAGAATACAATATAATGGAACCGGATCTATATTTCTTTCCGTCGCATGCCGCCAACGAATTCGACTGCCGTACACTGCGACCCTCGCGTAAGCAAAAGCAACAAAAACGGGAACAAGCCAAGCTAGCGGCAGCACAGCAGCAACAGCTGGAGGATCAGGAAGAACACGATGGGGATGATAGGATGCGTTATCGCGTAATGAACATGTCACAGGCTGCTATTAACACTGAGCTCGGCATGGCGCCCAGCGCGCCGCTGATAGACGAGAATGAGGGGGAGAACGAGCCGTTGCCCACAACACAGATCATGCCCAATAACAGTATGGCGCCAGCAGCAAATACGCCCACAATGACACCGGCTGGCACACCCACACCCATTGCCACGCCCACTGAGAGTAGCAAGAACGATCAAGTGCTATTTAAGAACTTTTTCGGCGCCACGAAAAACGCTATTTTCCGCACGGCGCAAAGCATCATTGAGAACCATGAGAAAAAGAATGCGGCCAAGCAGAAAACTGGCGAATTACAGGACATATTAAAGGGGAAATCTTTGGCGAACACCGCGCCAAGCAGTACAGACCAAATGTCGCAGGATCTGGTAAAATCGCCCACGGATATTTCCAAAAAGAAAGAGTTTTTTAGCCTTCGCAGCTCCAACTCCAGCAAGAAAGCTGCTGCTGCTGCTGCCGCAGCTGTTGCTAACACAACAACACCCACCACAGAAGCGCCGATCGACGCCACTAAAGTTGTGTCCACGTGGGATACTGGTATGGATGTAAAGATTAAGGAGCGCACGCTTAGCCTGCGGCTACCGGGAGTAGACACTGGTGATGCCAGTCACGATGCGACGCTACCGAAGAGCTCCTCCATTAGCTCGCTGCACCAACTGAAAATGCCAGTGCCGGGCGTGGTAAAATATTTCATCAGCGACCGGGCTCCGACAACAGGTCCGCTGCAGAACTCGGAGCGTGGTCCCAGTGGCCTGTTGCGGTTTTTTGAATCGCCCGTATTCAATATTCACTTTGCTGTGCATTATTTGTTTTACTCGAAGGAGCCGGGTGTGTTGAGTTTCATTGGGAATAAGATCTTCAGCTTTGCGGACCAAGAAGTGGATCTCTATATACCACAGCTGATATTAATGTATATTCAAATGGATGAACTAGCCGAAGTGCTGGATCCCTATCTTACCATTCGCTGTCGCAAGTCCGTGGACTTCTCCCTCAAGTGCCTGTGGCTATTGGAGGCGTACAACTATCAGGTGGATTCGCTGGGCAATGGCAGCAACAGCCGTAAGTCCAAGCTCGCGCTCATGAAAGAGATATTTCCCAAGAAGGAGAACAAGCAGCAAACTAAGCCTGATGATGGCCAAGGTCCATCTACAGCGCTCGTCAAGAAAACCCATCACCGCTCCCAATCTGATGCCACAGTGCTGCTCGCCGACTCCCGCAGCCCACACACGCTCAGCATAACGCATCGGATGTACCAGCAGCCGCCGTACACCACACAAACGATGCCCACAACAACCGCTAAACTGTTTCTCGGCGATCTGAGTTCGGGTCTTGCCTTCGATAATGGGTGCACCTGCTTTGAGACGGTGCGTGGACAGGTGAATGGTCTTCTGGGACAGCGTACGCTATGCAATTGCGGCGCACCAAAGACAGCGCCGCAGAAAGAATTCATGAAGGCGCTTATGAATGTGGGCAAGAATTTGATCTCGTTACCCTCAAAGGCAGAGAAGACTTCGGCACTGCGCATGTTTCTAAATCTGATCAATAAAAATTTGCCCGCTCGTGTCTGGCTGCCGCTCTACTCGGATATTCCGCATCACGTGGTGCGCATCACAGAGGAGAAGACTGCTGTGCTCAACTCCAAGGACAAAACCCCGTACATCATCTATGTAGAGGTGGTGGAAGTGCCAGATATTTACACATCGACGCTAATTCCTAAAATGATGCCATCGCTGCGACACACAAAAAGCGAGGAGCACTTAGAGGGAGCCTGCCTGAATACACATCAGAGCTGCAGCCGCACTTCCAGCTGTAGTAGCACTCATCATGGATCTAGCTGCCGCCGTAAAAAGGATACTGAATTGCATGCGGAGGGTGGCTGTGGCGAGCCGGGCACCTATAATTGCTGCAATGGCAACAACAGCCATCATCTGCTATCATTGGGCGGGCTACAGCTAAATGAGGATGATGTCTGGTCGCAGGAGGATGACCAGATCACGGCGCAGTACTTGTATATGCGCAAGATCAGCGAAAGGGACGCCATTTCACAGATGTCAATGGACTCATGCGACTCCAGAGATCAGGGTAAATGTGAAATATTAATCTTTAGCGGCCTAGTTACTATTAACAAATCTGTCTACATAGGTCAACCAATTGTCTTCAATATTGGTGATGTGCGCACGCGACACTGCAACAATTTGAACTGCGAGAATACAAAATCCTTCAGCAATGATCCAGAGGATCCATCGGCGGCAGCTCTAAAGGTTTGTACAGCCAAAAAGTATGCATTTCAGGTGCCGATCTAATATTTCTTATCCCTTATAGGAGCCCTGGCATGAAAAGGAGAAACTCATTCGCGAATCCTCGCCCTATGGCCATTTATCAAACTGGCGCTTGTTGTCGGCCATTGTCAAATGTGGAGATGATTTGCGGCAAGAACTGATGGCCACGCAGCTATTGCAGGTAAGTGAACTTAACTATCCGTTTACAATGATTACTCTTTCAATTGTTTTTTTTTTTTTGTTCTTTTAAAGATGTTTAAGATTATTTGGGAGGAAGAGCATGTGGATTTGTGGGTTCGGCCATATAAGATAATCTGCCTGTCGAATGACAGTGGTCTGATTGAGCCTATACTGAACACCGTTTCGCTGCACCAAATCAAAAAGAACTCAAACAAATCTTTGCGAGATTACTTTATTGACGAATATGGAGCACCAACAGGCGACAGTTTTCGTCAAGCCCAAAAGAATTTCGTGCAGAGTTGTGCGGCATATTGTCTGATTTCCTATCTGCTTCAGGTTAAGGATAGGTAAGTGTTGACACGTGCAATGGGATTATGTGGAAGCTATTTTTACATACCGATTTGCCTTTTGCATTCCATAGGCATAATGGCAACATACTCTTTCATTCGGATGGTCATATAATACACATAGACTTCGGCTTCATTCTAAGCATATCTCCCAAAAATTTGGGTAAGTATTGAAAATATAATGTATTGCATCTGATAATATTCATTTTATTCTGGCTCTTGCAGGTTTCGAGCAATCACCCTTTAAGCTTACACATGAATTTGTCGATGTTATGGGCGGAACCGGATCCGTGCATTGGCGGGAATTTAATCGTCTGCTTCTCGTCGGCATGATGTCTGCACGCAAGCATATGGATCGTATTATAAACTTTGTGGAAATCATGCGCAGTAGTATGTAGGAATGAAAAGAATATTGGAAACATTTTTAAGAAATTTGTTTTCTGATTTCCCTTTTAGATGCACAATTGCCGTGCTTTAAGAATGGCTGTTCCGGCACAGTACAGAATCTCCGAAAACGCTTTCACATGAATTTAACTGAACAGGAAATGGAACGCAAGGTGGAACAGCTTGTACAGGACTCACTGAAGAGCCTATCAACCAAACTGTACGATGGCTATCAATATTATACGAATGGCATTTTGTGAGAACGGTTTTTTATGAAAATCTAAAATGCCGATCTGATAAACCAAAAGAGTATGTTTAAAGAAAAATTTTATATATATGTATATAAAACGAAATCAAAACAATAACTGTTATTGTAGCCAGAATCGTTCATTATGCGTTGTGGCAATGTTATTATTCTATTATATTATGTTAGGCCAAAGTGAATGTTGTCTAGCTTTTAAGTAAAAGTGTAAATGCCTTTGACTGTATTTGTCTGTCTGTCTTGTCTCGGTCTTGTATTGCATTTCATTACGCAAACATAATAATCATCGACTTGTACATATATATAAGAACTTATGACTGTAATTAGAAAATATCGCTAAGTCGTCACGCATATTCATTTTATAAGAAATTATTGCATAAGCTAAACATTTATCATTAATTCACTCAGCTATTCACAAAACTAAATGCAAAACAAATTTACTATTCGCATGTCTGAACGATTAAAATTGAAATTCCAACATTTATAGGGTTTTTTATTAATTACTAAAGCAACTAAAATACTTTCCAACAATACAGACTCATATTTATTTATAAAATGCCAATAATCATATTGATCAGATATGCAGCAAATATGAATATACGTAGATATGGGAATTACATTAAAATATCTGTTCGCTTTCGCCCTCCAAAGTCCTCATATATGTATATGTACGGATATATACTTATATAAATATATTCCTATATTTATATAGCCAAACATTTTTCTTACTTTATAGTAACTAAGCTATCAAAATACTGGCAAAAATCAAATTAAATTCAAATGAACATAAACTAATAGCTAGACACTTGAAGTGTTAATTTCAATCAAAAAGTACTCGTATGTACGGCTTAAACATAAAACAAATGATGTGTATGATAATTATAATTACCTAAAAGTAATTTAGCTAAAAATATTATAAAATAAAGGTTGCATTTTTCTACAGTTAATTTAATAAACTCGATCGACAAGATATTTAATAACTGTGATCGCTTGCAAATTATAATGATTCGCAAATTATAACGCTTTAGGTTGATTTTAGTTTGCTTCATTATTCATTTGGGAGTCCTATGTTTATGCGAAAAAGCATAAATTAAAATTACTAAAATACTCAATTTGAAAAGTGTTTAAAATAATCAAAACCACAATAGGAATTCGAATTTTAGTTTAAAATACGTTCTTTGAATTAAAATACGCAGCTGTAATTTCGAGATGTTATAATTTCTAAGCGACCACTGCACTGAATATAAAAATCATTTAAAATTTCCAAATTACATTATAAAATTAAAAATAAACATGAAGTACCCAAATAGATAATGTGTATTATAAATTATCATTACAACATAAACTGAACTGATTTTTTAAGGAATATCAAGAGCTATAATACTTATTGGTTGCAAATTTAAGTACTATCTGCCGCTTTCTGGAAATATCAGGATGCACCTGATCGATAATCGAGATATTTGAGAAATTGTTCGTGTTACCCGAAGAATTCTTTGACTGCAAAAGTATATGTTTAAGAAGTACTTCAACAATTAAAGCACTTAAAGCTTCGCAGTCGGAAAGTTTACGGTGTAATAACAATTTAAACAGGTAGAAGTAGGGTTCTTTAGGAACTTGTTTTGGTAAGCTTTACTCCTCTATTATATTACATTCTATTTTCACGAAACACCGTCGATTCAGGGACTTCGAAGTAGAATACCTGATCAGTAAGTCAGTTGCGTGCAGCAACTATGTTGGAGTCAGACGGATGGTACTACTACAATATCAGCTAAAGGAATGATCGGTTCGTAAATAAGGCAATATCAAATCGAAACTTTATCCCGTCCACGAACGATTCAAGTCGTAACTTAAACATAGACGGTCACAAGTCTTCGCTCCTGATATACATAGGCTATGTATTTAAACAAAAACTGTTGAAAATTTAATTTTTAGAAAACGCTTGTCAAAATCTGTTTCTAAATTCCTGGGTAAAATTATGTAATATAGCTGAAAATTCTTAACGCGTACGCACAATCGCATTAATTGGCTATCGATGAGTCATGCGTAACTGATGCACATGAACTTATCCTACAGCTGTTATCCCGTTTATGCGGAAGTGGCTGCTCCGCAAGAGCTGCATTTGGAGCGGGAAACTTCAAACGAGACATTGTCAAAGGAATTGGGAACCTGGAGACCTGGATGCGTTAGTAGGGAGCATGCTAGTCCTATAGAATACTCGATTCTGAAATTTGTCAAAGCTTTATGCGTATTGCTGCTCACAGTCGTTAAATAGATTGTCTTCGGTCATTGTGAACATGGTAATCCCAAGAGATTTAAACAAAACCAAGACTATCACGACAATGAAGAATCAGGAAAACATCACACCCAAAGTCATCGAGCCATCTCTGTTTTTGGCCCATTCGTCCTGCCAACACGAAAATTTCGATGCATTACGGCTCGCTGCTATACATGAGCTGCTTGAAAAGGAAATAAATTACGTGAAGCTACTGTCTGCCATTTGCAACGGGTGAGTCACCGGTTGTAGTCTCCAAGCAAATAACCATTCCACTTCTATCTCAAGCTATTTGCCTGCCATGAGCAACCGCCTCGACATCTTCTCTGCCAGCAGCATAGGGCTCATATTTTCAAATATAACGGCCATATACAAATTTCAGCGAATGTTTTTGGAAGCTTTGCGCCAAGGCATTGAGCAGAATCAAATATCGAAGGTGTTTCTAAAGATGGTGAGTGTGTACCGTCAAATAATAGCAATTTTCTATATAAGTGAAATTCCTGCCACTAGCATAAAGGATTTCTATGCTATTTATCTTACTGCAATGATTATTCGCGTGCTCTTGTCGAGCTCGAAACCTACGAACGCATCACGGAAGCTCGCACAATCCTGGAGAAGTGAGTTTTTGCCCATTTCAATTTGAGCTGCAAAATCCATTAATCAATTATTAATCAATAAATCGCAAAGCTGCCGCGAATCCGATAACCTGGCCAAACTACCGCTATCTGCGCATCTGCTAGCGCCAGTGCAGCGCATCTGTCGCTATCCTCTGCACCTCAACGAACTACTTAGGAATGCTTTGAAGAATAACGGGAATAAGCTTGGTGTGCAAACTGATATATTAGACTATGAACATATTGATGTGCTCCAGTTTGATATTCCTGATACGCACTCCACCGTTAAAATGGCGCTTAAGAAGATGCGTGGCATCACTGAAGCTGTAAACGAGGGTAGACGCCAAAGCGAGATTCTTGCACGGCTTCAGGGCAGTTTCCAGAGCTTTAAAGGACCACTGCTGAGCCTGCACAGCACACGCTTCTTCTTACAGGGGGACGCCATGCGCCAAAACCAGAACATGTGGAACAGCAGTTGCACCTTGTTTCTATTTGATAACCAGCTGATATACTGCAAACGGGATATCATCAAGCGTAGCCAGTTCATCTATAGGGGACGCATCTTTTTGGATCGCTGTCGCATCGTGAACATGCAGGATGGAAACATGTTTGGGCCCACTGTCAAGAACATGCTACGCTTCTATTGCCAGTCACGGGAGAAGTGGTACGACTTTAGCTTTCGCTCCGCCATTCGTAAACATGCCTTTCTCAATGCGCTTGCCCTGGAGCGACAGTTTAGTGGCAAGACTCTGGAAGTTTCCGAGATGACCGGATTTGAGTTTAATGAATTCGATGAGGAACAGCCGGGTGACTTCTCTGACCAATCGGAATACGAGTACCCAGATTGTGAACACACAATGGGCAGCTTATCCTCCAGTGGTGACAATTCAGGAGCGGAGTTCACGGTCAAGTCAACCTATCGCTCTTGCGCACAGTGGAACGATGATATTGCCAGTACCAGCCATGGGTCTGGGCAGATGCTCATATCATCTTCAGCCTGGTCGCTGAGTCTTCGCCGTCTAAGCAACTGGTTCCGCAAGTTGAAAAACTTTAACGGGACGGCGAATCCGTTACCAACTCACAATCCAGATTTTGACGCAGATTCAAAATCAACAACAAGCGAAAGCGTACAGGCTGCTTCCGCGCAAATTGAGACTGGCAGCTCGTTTGCTTAATTAATCTTTTTATTCATTATTATTTATAATCATATAAACTACAAATCGCTAAATATATGGGTATGCCGGTATGTAGAAAATGCAAGATATCAAATATTTTTATTTTTAAAACGGGTAATTAACATTTTTTATACAAAAAATGCCGTTATTTGTCGTTTACCCGTCGAACAACAGAGAGCCCATACTCGCGGAACAGGTCTGCTAACGAGTGTTTCCTTCTGCCTAACTTTTAACATTACCATCAATCGTTAACATTGCTGAAGGTAAATATCTGAAGAGTTGATATTGGTATATATCGATACTTTTTATGATTATCGGTAGCGGAGTACCAAGTAAGCCTAGTGGAGGACGCTATGTTAAGTAAGAGGGTGCCAATGTATAGTAGCCAGAGAACACTGCTAAAAATAGAGGACGCTGTAAACATCGATATTCATATCGATAGAAGATCAACAAATGGATGATCGTATTCTCCCACTCTCGCACATAATACAGATGATCAATATAAATTGTTAGCATTTATTGTACTTTACCAAAAATATTGACAATTTGTAATGTTATTTAAACGTCGCATGTGTTGTTGAAAGTGTGTTTGCTAGCTAAAATGCACAGCGCTGTTGGAGCCACGGGAAACAGCAAAGTTGTGGCCACATTGCGCGCTGATGGCAGTGTGGCAATGGAGGCGCAATCCGTCAACCAGCAGCTATCCAATTTACTAAAAAAATATAAAATTGTAAGTAATAAAGCATATTCTAAAGTTTTCCAACTATAAAATAAACACCGTAGCGCACCGAGGGTGAGCTTCTATTAAAGAAGGGCAACGGGCCCGGGCCAACAACAGTCGTTGATTTGGGAAAGCAACTCTTACAATGTGCTCGAGACAGCGATGTTCCTGGCGTAAAGACTGCGCTTGCTCATGGCGCTCCGTTTTCATCAGACTGGGTGAGTCAAACACATAATAGTATAATAATATAAATGTAACTGCAATATTCCAATTTTAGCTGGGTATGTCGGCGCTTCACTTCGCTGCGATGAACAATCAGCTGGAAATCTGCGAAATTCTCTTGCAAGGCGGCATCAATATGGAGGCAAAGACAAAAGTGGACCGAACGCCACTCCACTTAGCTTGCTATTTCGGACACGAGCGAATTGTTAGCCTATTTCTGGCGCTGAGGTGTGCCGTGAATGCACGTGATATGGTGAGAGCCAGCTAATTACGGCCTGGATTGGCTTTTGAACTGAGTTATTCTTGTTGCACAGCTTCGCATGACACCGCTGCACTGGGCTGTGGAGAAAAGGCACAAGAGTATTGTACGCATGCTTCTTAAAAGTCAGGCAGACGTAACACTAGTCTCCAAATTTGGCAAAACCCCCATCGCCTTGGCCGTGCTAACTGAACAGGCAGATATTTTGGCGGAGCTGGAAGCTGCTCGCCAGTCTCAGGCTAACCGCAAATTCAACGAGGAGACAGAGGTAAGTACCTTGTCGACACACTTTTATCAAAAAGCCAGTGATTTTAAATACTTTAAAAATCAACCAAGGTAGAATCAAAATAAAATGTCCATTTAATTTTGTCTTATTATTCCTGACTGCAACCCATAGCAAAAGGTGCGCTGTATAAAAGTATGTGACATATTATAATATAAAGAATGTTAATCGTATCACAACTATGTAATTTTTATTTTTCAAAACATCCAATTCTGTCCAAAAACATTTTTTCATAATTTCTAGAAAGAAACCAGCGATGCAGTTAATTCTATTATGGATGAGTCTAAGTCAATACGAAGTCTTGACGACGCCGACATGTCGGTGGAGGACAAGATGGATGTTTTAGAGACATTACGCGGCCGTAAGTTTTTCTTTCCCTAATATCACAAGTGAAAATAATATTTCTTCTAATAGACACTAACATGCTGGGAAATTCTGCTTTAAATATGCTTAAGACGCATGGTATTGCAGACATGATGCAAGACAATCAAATAGGTAGTATATTTTATATTCCAAGGAAGTTGATCTTTTCGTAAATTGATCGATATTCTAGACGATGAAGCTTCGAAAAAGATGCTAAACACTGCTCTTCGAAATGGCCGACAGCTGGTGCTCTCAGAGGGTGGACGTATGCTGCTGCATGAAACGAACCGTGGTTCAAATGTAAAACAAAGTACAAACGGATCTATTAACAATAACTTAAGGAACAACGCAATCAGTTTGCATCCCAGTACAAATCAAGCTATCCAAAATTCGTCTCCTCAAAAAATACGGATGAACGTCATCAAGCAAAAGGAGTCATCGTCAGCTAGTCCAGCAGGTGGTGTTACAAAAAACAAGGTTAGTAATATAACATTTTCCATTCTCTACTTGACTCTTGCAGTCCTTAAAAAATATGTATATAAGTGACCCGGTTTTATTTAATTGTTTGCTGCCATGTCGAAAAGTTATTTGATAACAATGAAAAATTGTAACTTTTCTTGTGCTTCTATTTACAGAACATAAGAATTATATCGTTGACCGACTTCAAGAAACTTTGCGACCAGCCAAAATCTCTACAAAAAATACCTGCAACCTTAGCAAGGTAAGTTTTTGTGTGTTTTTATATGATTATATTTACATTAATATATTATTGTGTAGCTCTGGAGTGGTACGCCAACTTGCCGATGGTACCAAATTGGTTAACATGCGACAGTTACAGTCTCGTCAGGTGAGTTGTCATGTTACTATTGACAATATATTTTATAACAGATGTTTTTATATTTAGCTGAAATTACCATCCAGACCTATTGACAGCGGTGCTATTGATGAGCAGCAGCAGTTGCTGAACGAAGTCATAGCCTCAACAGTTACACACAATCCCGCAACGACGAGCACACTGCGTGGGCAAGTAGGCACCGTACAAACTATTCAACTGCGCCCCTCCTTAGCAGCTGGAACTGCTGTGGGATCCACCAACAATGGAGCTGTTCTTAAGCCTTCAGCCACTGCACCCATGCGTTCGAATTTACGCACTGGCAATGAATTCAATACAACGAAGGGTCCCAACGTGATGCCATTGCCGACATCGTCAGAAATTGGTCGGCAGCTGCACGAGCTGCGGCGACATAATGAAGAGCTACGACGTCGTATGGATGTGGTGCAGAAGGAAAAGGAGGATATGCTATTACGAATCGAACGATTGGAACAACTGATGTTGATTCGAGATTCTGATGCAGAAATGAAATATGTTAACATTTAGTGAAGGTTTAGTTTATTATCTACATTGTAAATATGATTAACATTACGATAGTAAACATAGTTAAGTTTCACTTTAAGAAAAAAACATTTATTTTCTATTTTGACTGCCCCTACACAATTTGTTCTACAAAACCAATAAGAAACACAAACTAATAAGAATATATTGAGGTAAGCTGTAGATACACATATATGTACGTAAGAGAAAAATATATGTTCAAGTTTATATGTTACATATATAAAAATGTTGAACAAGGTGCACGCATTTATTAAGTGCTTTAATTATATCGATTTTAATATATGTACATATTCATTCATTTTACATTTAATAAAGTCTTGTGACAAAATAGAGCTTAACGATTGGATGGAATGTTGCGGAATGAATATGCGAAAGATTTAGCTATGACGTCACTTTTATTAATTGCTATGCTCTGGGTACACTTCCAAAATGCGCAACCTTTTCAACAAAGCGATAGTATCGATACTTAATGCTTATAAATGATACCGATGACCCATTGCAAAATGAAGTAACGATAGTTGTGAAGTATCGATGACAAATTATGATATTAATTATTGTTACAGTTATGGACTATTGTTTAACGCCTCGTGGTGACAGGATAAAAGATTTTTGTATTGACGATAGTCCTACATAAATATCGTATGTTCGATTTACATGAAAATGTTAATAACTTTTTATTAAAATCTTCGAAAATAAATCAACTTTTTCGAAATTAAATGAATAAAATTAAAATTAACGCATAGGTGTGTTAGCGAATAATCGCAAAAAGCACTTGAATTTATAAAGGTTAAAAGGGTTTTAACAATCTGTAAGATCCCTTCCCATTACGATAAAAGTTCATATTAAAATTTTCATTTCTGTTTAATTTTTAAAAATATATGCATATTTTTTATTATTACAGGTAAAGGTATAATAAATATGTATGCGTCTCGGTATATGTATTTAGGTATGCATTTAAGAGGTTTGTACGTAGATTTGAATACATGCGTGTAATTCGATAGCGACGATTCGGGAGTCCAATACGAAAACGGGTATATTTCGAATCAGACTCGCAAAAGTCTTAAGTGTAAGTTCATTGGTGGCTAGCGTCTAGCATGTTGTGAGCTTACAACTAAAGTTAAGCTGTAGTTACGCAATTTAACAGTATTCGCTCACAAGCTTTATACATTTTTTTTGTTTTAATAAATATTACAAACTATAATTCTGCTAAGCGAAGTCAATCATTCCCTTGCCACTTAGCTAAGCACAAGACTTCGCGGTCCCATGCGAGCCACATTAATAGGCCTAACTGATGCTTCTTCGTTATCAAAGGACTTGCGTGCTCCATCTCCCAGCTCGTCATCATCACCGAAAAGTAGAGCAGCTAGACTCGTTTCAAAGGTTGACTTTTTTTTGATAGTTGGCCCACTTTGATTCACAGGCGATTTCGTAGTTGTTTCTCCCTTCTTATCAATTTCCGCTGTTGAGGTATTTGTATTGTCGGGAATAAGCGTTGTTGGTGTTGTTGTTGTTGTTGTTGTGCTGGCAGTTGTGGTGCTGCTACCAGAAGTCGTAGCACTTGTCCTTATAGTCTGTGGGGGTGTTGTCTGTGATCCGACCAGCGCAAGTGCGATGGGCCTGTTATTATCTTCAGTGGATTGCACCTTTTCGCCGTACGAGTTTGTGTCCTTCTGTTCCGTATGCACGTAATCAGCTGGGAAAATTGGCTTGAAGCCTCCCTGTAATTGCGGCTGGAAACTGTCCAGTTCAGAATGCTTTTCAGTGGATGAATTGGTCGTATTGCCAGGTTGTAATTGCTTCTTATCTGCCGCAACCTCAATATCGGCC